TTGACCGTTGCTGCACATGAAGCAACGTGTTGACCGATGCTGCACATGAAGCAACGTGTTGACCGATGCAGCACATGAAGCAACGTGTTGACCGATGCTGCACATGAAGCAAGGTATTGACCGTTGCTGCACATGAAGCAACGTGTTGACCGATGCTGCACATGAAGCAACGTGTTGACCGATGCAGCACATGAAGCAACGTGTTGACCGTTGCTGCACATGAAGCAAGGTGTTGACCGTTGCTGCACATGAAGCAACGTGTTGACCGTTGCTGCACATGAAGCAACGTGTTGACCGTTGCTGCACATGAAGCAACGAGTTGACCGTTGCTGTCAGACCTAAGTGTTTGTTGACTGAATGAGCTGAATTTATTAACTCTGAGTATTACAAAAATAACAATAACAAGGTGTGAAAAAGCAAAACGCATATTTTGTATATTTCCAAAAATACTGAACATATTTGCAGAGTGCAATAATAAACTAATGTTGTTGTTTAAAATAAAAACAGTTTATAAAGTGTTGGTGTTGAAAACGATGAAGATAAACATGTCAACAGATATTTGTACAGGCTGGACATCAAATGTTTGATCTCCACCCTCACACAGCTGGACTGTGAACAGCTGGAACTGGATCTGGTGGCATCAGAACCACAGAGGTTCTGATCCGGTCTGGACCACTCTGCTGTCCCAGCAGGGTACACTCAAAGGTCCAATGCTTGAGCCATCATTTATATTTCCCATTTACTGCAAGAAATGTGAACTATTTTAATCTTTAAATGTTTTTATTCATATTAAAACAGTCCGGTCATGTTTGAAGTGACATTGTGACTAATAGTTGTGAAGCTGTGACATCACGAGTTCTTCACGTGGACCTCGCTCACGATGTGAGCTGGTGAACGAGTTTTCTCTGAACAAACAACTCAAACGTCTCGTGCTTCTTTCTGCCGTCTTCTAAGACACGTGAGCACTCACAGTTTTCAGCGACCTTCAGCTACTTCCACACTAAACTTTAGCTCAGGTTCTATCCAACAAGCTGATTCATAGATATTTTATTGGCTGTAATCTGTTAGCTGTACCTAAATGAGGATCGTGGCACCATGTTGAACTGGGCCGACTCTAAATGTTCGTCAGATGCTCGTCCAGAAGTTTTTCTGCTTCATGACACGTTTCATTCATGCTACAGACTTTCACCTGCAGCAGCTGGAGGTGACCACAGCTCTTGCTGTGTCCTGCCACGTATCATGAGCCCATAGTCAAATGTTCTGGTCGTTAATGGAGACCGACTGACCTGTCGTGTTGGGAGACGAGGCTGTGGCTGGAACCAGACCAGTGGAGGAAAATGTCTGACGGACAGTAAAACTCGGACCCGTTGCTGGGCTGGACCAGCTGGAGGTCAAACCCAGACCTGCTGTGGATTCTTCAGGCTGAACTGTAGAAAGCCTGGGCCGGGTGGTACGAATGTTTCTTTCTACAATGACAGAAGAAAAACAAGATTTACATAATTAATAATCATTAAAATATCACATTTGCATTAATAACACTTCAGTGAGAAATGAAGCTTTGAACTATCTAAAAATCCCATCTGGCTCTCAGTCTTAGACAGGAAACAAGGAGAGGAAAGGACCAAAGGAAGCTGTGAGCTCCAAGAGCTTGGAGCAACATACGAGACTAAACGAATAACGGTCCAGCTCTTTTTTATTTATGATTCCACAAACAGACCACGTTCAGCCTGACTCTTTCTGTTGTGCTAGTAGAAAATATCAAACAGCTAAAATGTGAGGTACACAGCCGAAGTCTGAACAAACTGTACTCACTCTCTCGTCCGATTTGAACAAAAGTCATCAAGGTTTTGTTGTGCAGCGCCGGGTGGCGCACGAGGCATTTCACAGTGACTCTGTTCTTCACAGGATAAACATGCAAGAAGTCGGTGGAGACGTATTTTTTATCTTCATGGTGGACATTTAGCCCATGAGCTGTGGATCAGGACACACATCATTAGCTGCAGTTCATCAAACAAACACAAAAACATCATTTCATTCAGCTGAGGCAGCGGCACCAACATGACGGCACACGTTTCCATCAGTGGCAATAATGATTTAATTTAACTGGTTTTTATTTTTGCCATGGTGGAACTATTACATACAATATTTACAATTTCAAATATTTATTTATGTTTTAACATTATTGTGTATTTTATTCCCTAATTTACACAAAATCAACATTATCCAAACAGGCTCATATAAGTTTATACGTTCAGCTAAAACTTTAACAAATGGTGCCAAGCAAGGCCGTTAACTCTTGTTAGTGATCATGATGACTGAAGCTGGACGTTTCATTTGACTGACACCAGGGCTTAATCTGAGCAGGAACAAGGTCCAGAACGCTCTTATTTTGACAGGGTGTGTTCCAGTAACTGTTTGCTTGGATCCAGTAACTCTCAGACTTACTAATAATAAAGTTATGAACCAGTTTGACTGCCTTGAACAAATAAAACCTATATTGTATATGTAAACTGAAAATAATGACATAAACACTAATTTTAAACACAACAGCCACTTACGAGCTTCTTAATATCACATCAGAGCTGCTCCTTCAAGTAAACATTTCTGCTTCTACCCTTAAAAAATGTCCGCCCCTAAAAGTTCAAACATGGGCAATTTAAATAAGAACACAAAAATATAATTAAACAGCACAACTAAATTGAAAATCAGTTTTACAGTTTAAGTGGGTCATTAGTAAAATTTTGATTATTTAATAAAAATATAACAAAAGGATTATTTGATGGGTAATCACGTATCAAAACAACGCGCCAATTTGTGAAAATAACAGCGATCAAAATGTCAAAAAAACAGTCCAGTTTAGTTTCATTAAAACAAAGTCTTCTCATTGTACAACTAAACAACTGAGGATTGGTTAGATTCCCCTGGTCTGCACCAGTTCTAAGTCAGCTGCTAGGTGCCAGCTGAGGCCACCCGCTGGAGACCTGCTCGTGCGGGACCCCAGTGGGGGGCCACAGCTGGGCAGATTGGCAGACGTGCGTCTAGAGTCGCCGCTGTACCGCATCCCCCCTCCCCCCCACCGGCACACCTTCTGTCACGATGCGGACACCGCCATGGGACACCTTCCCCCGGGCCGAGAATTGGTATAGGATGTGTGAGAGAAAAGGAGCGTGCTCTATTCACACAAGGAGAGCTGTTGGTCAGGCTACTGCTTGTTGCTCTCTAAAGTAGTTATTGAATCAAGTGTTACTTGTGTAGGTAAAACTAGAAGTTTAACATTCATTAAAATACACCAGAATGCAGGAAATGGCATTTACTTTATTTATTCAAAATTTTCTTGAGGAGGACCCACCCCCACCCCTGCATGCTATTTGTGTTCTGGCATCGTTTGGTTTACAAATTAAGCCCTGACGGATACTACTCATCAATATTAGCCATGATGAGAAAAAACACAAAGCATTCAGTGAATATTTCAGAAAAAGTATAAATTGGTTCAAATGTTTAGGAGCAATCAGCAACAAAACGTTTAAACTTCCATCATATGTACAGATCTACATGAGCAAAATCACATGGATGGAAATTATCTTCATTAGCTTCATCATCCTGTCTGTATCTGATGGGTGGAAAAATCAGTGTTCAAGTCCGCCGCTCCCTCAACACGTCATTATACTGCAACAAATGTTCACGATAATAAACATACACTTATCTTAGACAGGCATAAATATTTGATTAATCTGTTCTTAAACACTATGAAGTCGCCACATCTGGTTGCAGATGTTCACACCAAATATCGGTTTCTTTTTAGTACCTGACTGTTTTTGTGTTCTTATGTCACGGATCCTGTTTGTAAAAGAAGACGGTTTAAATAAATCAGTGACATCATTCTCATGATGATTATTGCAACGTGCATGTACCATAATGTGTATTTATACATACAAACAGTAAGTTCCATGTGCAGTTTTACTAACATCTAATGCTTTTTTTTAATACTTTATAAAACTTACCAGTAAATTCCGGTTGGTGATCAAACTCCCAGGAGATCTGCGGTGGGTGGTGGTTCCCCTGAGCGCTGCACTTTATAACATGTTTACCTTCATGCTTTGTTACTGACAGTCTGGGATGATCTACATGAAGACAGCAGATGTTATTTCATCTTAATCACACACGTGCAGACATGTGCTCCGTACTGCACGGAGCCATGCTCTTTAGTATAGTTTAAGGTGATTGAGGTGTGAGTCAGAAGGTTGTAGAATGGGTTTTACCCAGCACGGTCAGCTCCACAGTCTTTTCCACTGGTTTCTGCTTGTACTGGCAGCAGGTGTAGTTGCCTCCATCTTTAAAGGAGACGTTGGAAATACTGATGGAGAACTCTGACTGAGACAACTTGACGATGCTGTATCGCTTGTCCCATAAAACTGAAAACAAAGAAGATATTTGATGCTTCACGTGTCGGCTTCAAGAAGTAGCCTGATCATTTATGATACGACGTTCTCTCAGATATTAATATTATAGATATTAATTAAAAGTAGTATTTGACACATAGAGACAAACGAGACAAACAACCATTCACTCTCTCACCTAGGGACAATTTAGAGTTACCAATCAGCCTAACATGCATGTTTTTGGTCTGTGGGAGGAAACCCACGCAGCACGAAGAGAACATGCAAACTCCACCCACAAAGGTCCGTGGCTGGGATTGGAATCGGGGCGACCTGCTCACTGAGAGGCGACAGCTCTATCAACTGCACCACCGTGCTCTTTCCCAAAATGAACATAGCGTTGTAAAAAAACAACAACAACAACAAACGCTACTTTGCCTGTTAAACTTCTACATATTTTCATGACAAGTTGTTCACTTTGTCTCTGTTATTTCAACAGAGCAACATCTGAAAGTATCAGTCTGCAGGAGCTGAGTGATCTTTGGAGTTGATCAGGTGGACAGACACTTTCAGCCGCCTCAGCACACGAACACTCACTGGAGGAACACGACGTTGGACAACAGCAAGAAACTGAACAAATAATTATCTTTTAAAGAGTATTAGCTAATGTTGCCTTGTTTAACAGTAGGATTTTGTTTTTGACAAAGAGTTGTTTTAGAAGCCTGAAAATGATCAAACCAGACAGTTTATTCTGAAGGTTCTGCTCTTCTACGTTTTCTAAGCTCTCCGACTGGAGAGGGGATAAATGGTTTGAATCTTGACGATCCGTTTGCTTCACAGCGAGGTTCAATTCTGAACAACAGTGACGTCATCATATACAACGTACTATACTTCATTATGTACTCTGTGTTTGGTGATGTCCATTAGCTCCCTGTCAAATTCAGAATTTCTTCATTTGGATGACCCGTAATTTTCTGCTTTTAAACTCAGACAAGACTGAGGTTTTGGTTTTTGGACCTGAGCACATTAGGAATGAATTGTTCAGTCTTTTTCCCTCCTTAGATGCATTAATCTGTCCTCCAGCTCTAATGTTAAACATCTTGGTGTTATGATGGTGCTAAGACCATCTTAGCACCAACAGAACTGGTTTGTTCCACTTTGGAGTAAGCTGTTGGGGGAAGAATCAGTTTTGTTGTGTTTCCTTGACTGATGAAGCCTTCTGGATGGAAGGTGAAACGTTTCAGCACAAGAAAAAGAAAGTGTCCAAATGACCTGACTGAAAAATGTTGGATTGTGTACCTGGATTATTGAGCATGGACTTTGTTGTTTTTTTACTAACTGACTTTTATGCATGTGAATGTTTCTGTTCAGTGCCTGAGACAACTTTGTTGTGATTTAGCGCTTTATAAATAAACTGAATTGAACGGCATGGTTCAGTTAACCAACTGTCGAGACATGAAATGAGTTGATTTGTCGTGTTGAACAGTGGACGTCCAGAGAGATCGTCCCTCTACCAACCGTGCTTCGTGTGTTAGTGAAGCACGAGACGCCATCTTTACCTTTTCTTTCATTAAAGAACATAATGTGTCCGTCTGGGTTTTTCCACTCCACATGCGTCCTGTGAGCGTTGGTCATCGTGCACCTGAAGGTCACGGTTTGGCCCTTCACCACAGTCACAGCCTGCCACGCACCAAGTGAAACTGCAGAGAAACGAAGGTGACATTAAATATTAGAAGCTTGGAAACAAATGCAAACTGTCTTTATAATCTGAACCACCTAAATGTTTCCTGCTCGTCCGTACAGAGCTGTCGAACTGAGTCATCTGTGGCCTGACGTGACTTCTGCTGGGGGAGGTGAGATGTTCAAAAAACTCTGCCCCCGTTAAATACAACATGTTTTCTATTGTGACAGGAAATGGTGTGGTCTCTGCTGACAAGCTGAAGGAGAAGGTGCAGAAGCAGTTCTGTAGGCTGCTAACGGGGGCTCGCTTTTATTTATTTCCCTTTCTGTGGGGGAAGGGACACGTTGTTTGGAAAACCAGTCTGTGGGGGCTCAGTGACACCACAGAGACTTTTTTTAAGTTTAGGAGTTCAAGAAATGAGACTTTCCACTAGTTACGATACAAAGACAAAGAAGAGAGTGAGAAGGTTTGGACGGAGGAGAAATACGTTGTTGGAGACGTTTGCTGCAGTCTGGACTGAGACCTGCTGGACTCGGTGTCGACCACAGGACGGCAGGTTCTCAACAACAAGCATCTCACTCTCACTGAGCTATAGGAACTTTTATACATTTAGAAACCAACAACTTTCACTTCACGTTTCTTATCCTGTTTGTTTTTTACCTTTCTGTCACTCTGTTGGATGCTTTACCTTTTTTATGTCTCTCTGTCCTTTTTATTACTATTAATGTCTCCTTATGTGTCCTTTATGTCTCATTATGTGTCCTTTATGTCTCCCTATGTGTCCTTTATGTCTCCCTATGTGTCCTGTATGTCTCATTATGTGTCCTGTATTTCTCATTATGTGTCCTTTATGTCTCCCTATGTGTCCTGTATGTCTCCCTATGTGTCCTGTATGTCTCCCTATGT